TCAGTGGGAATTTGATCCAGACATCTCCATTCATGCTGTTCTGTTTCTAAGCATTAGGAAATATCCTTCTGTTACCCAGTGGTTTTTAGGATCAGCCTGAAAGTGAGATGGAAGGGATAAAGTCATTTTAGATGGCAGAGACTGAAAGAAAACAATAGTAAGAAAAAAAACAACAACAAAAAGCATTAGCCAGAAGTCTGCAGTTATTTCAGGCCAGATCCTTCAAAATGAAAATGGATTTATATACCCTTTTGCATTTTTTAGGAAGAGGAAACTGGGGGGGAGAGGGGAGAATGGAGGAGCAGCAGAAGAAGACATAAAGCCCAGTCCTATTAACGTGGACATCTCACACAGAGCACTTCAACACACAGCATGGACACTACAGGAGCTGAGTCAGAATGTTTAAACTGGCAACAGCTGTCTATCCTAAAGTCAGTTTGAGTGCTTGTGAGACATGCCAGCCAGCCCGGGAGAGCTCAGTTCTCTGTTTCTCTGTACAACAGGTAGGGCAAAGGGTCAGCAGGGGAGAAAGTCTCCATCCGTGCTGCCCACTTCTGCATTGAAGGGATGGACCCTTATGGAACAATAATGTAATCCAGGCTCTTTGCTTCTTTACAGAGATGCTAACAATGTGCCAGCTGTGTGCATGCTTTGGGGTTTTTCTTTAAAAAATAATAATAATAAAAACCTAAACGTGTCAGCTGACCAGTACTCCAGTTCACCACTGTGCCAAGTGCTCAGCTGGTGCAAGTTCATGTAGCAGAGCTGACCCAGCTGCAGATCTGGCCCCATGCCTCCACCCACTGGTTAGTGCATGTCTCGACCCAAGGTAATATTCCACACTCCCGGCAACTCCCTCAAACCCCATCCTCAGTCACTGCAGCCTCTGCTCCAGTAACAGCTGCAATAAATACACACACAAAAGGTGGTAACAAAACACATCAGATTCTTTACAGGACAATTTAGGAAGAGTTTAGGTTAACAGTAAGAGGAATTGAACCCAGGATCTCAGATTCTTAAAGCATCTGAGCTAAATGACCTCATTCCATCAGCTCAAAGACAGCAGAGGACTCAAGAGCCTCCACACAGTAAAACCACCAGGACAGCACACAGCCCAGGCTCAGATTTTGAAGTGGTGTTCCAAGTAATTTCCCCTGTAGTAACAAAAAAAAATAAAAATCTGTCCCATCCCAGCTGCATTGCACTGTTTAATTGAATTAAGATGTTTCATTTGAACTACACAGACATTTCTTTTGACTATTGATCTCTTACTGGAAAAAGAAAAAAGAAAAAAAAAGTAAAACTGTTAACTAAAAAAAGTCACCCAGCTCTCCCCAGTACCCTGGAGCCTTCAATTAGATCACAGCCTTAGTGAACTCTAAGGGTAACAAGCACACAAAATAACCTGTTCTAAAGGGTTTAAATCTTCAAGAAACAGAAATAAGGAAAAAAAACCAACACTCCCACTTGATGAATAGGGATGTATACTCAAACTATACAACTCACCTAAAATGAGAGAGAAAATCTGCTGTAAAATGAGGAATTAAATTCCTTTGCAGTATCCACAACCTCATATTCATGAGACCAAGTTTCTTTTTCTTTGCATAACTGGGGCAGGAAAGGCAGCAAACTATAGAATTGTAATGGAGGCATGACAGAATACAGATTTCATTTTGGAAGTACCACCTTCAGAGAACAAACTTCCACCCTTACATCTGAAAGCCATCCCAACCCATCCACTTCATACCCCTGACTACAATTTCAGTAAAGGAGGAAATGTTAGTATGCGAAGTTCACACTTTTCATTTCCAGGAACATTAACTGCTCACCACTTCAGCCATGAGAAAAAGTCACAAAAATATTTACATTTTTGAAGTCTCATTAACTTACCAATTCCACAGGTACTAACTTCAAAAAAATAAGCACTTAGACAGGGTAAACAGAAATGTATAACACTGGGAATCCACCAGTGCTATGATCCACACTAGAACCAATTTAGCTCTGATCAATTTGAATCACGTATGCAAAGTTAAAGCCTGGTCTAAAGTTTTGAGAAGTCACTATGGCCTGTACTGTCTAAAAAACTTGGGAGTGAATATTTCACAACTTTTTCTGGACTAAACACCAATCATGTCATCTCCCAGATACGATCAGGTGGGCCTTTCAGTCCTGTGCTGCAGTGGAGTTAGGTCTGTCTCTGTTTTTTGATGCCTGCAATAGCAGCACTGCAGGATTCCTGCAGCATCATTGCTGCTAAAACAGAGGCAGCATTCTGAAAAGAAGTTTCTCATCCGAGGTTACACTGGAATTCCGACTCCCAACATTGCAGGAACCTAAATCCTCTCATGTACCCTACATATATTTGTCAGTGGGAGAGGGGTACACGATTAACTTCAGTGAAGAAGCTCCCTTTCATAGAGAAAGTGCTAGTGTCCAAGAGGGAACACAAAAATAACTGCACAGTCCTTAGAATCTAAATCTAGTCCCCAGAGCAAAGGTCACGGCAGATATGTTTTATTCAGCTAAGAACTTTTGGAATTAATTCAAGAAGAAAAAACCCAACAACAACAACATGGCTGACATTTTTTTCCCACTGAATTACTTCTTCCTTTTTAAACAGAGATATAAGTTTCTATGATTAGGGAAAATCCAATTAATTGTGCCTCCCTACAGCAATAAAAAGGTAAACCAACACAACAGTCAACCCAACACTCTGAGTTTGAAAGCCAAAGATTTAGCCCCACTGAATGTAGCTTGGGAGAACTCCTAAGAAGTTGTACTTATTGCTAAGGAAATGTCTGAGGATAAAACTAGACAACGAAGCCCTTTGTGCACAGACAGGCACAGCATGATTTTGTTATTATATTTGCACTACATGTGTTGATTACGATGTAGTACACAGGATTATCCTTCAACTCCTCAAACCTTATTTAACCAGGTGAAGTGGTGGAGCAGAAATAACTGTACTGAAGCAGGAGTCATATGCTAGATGCTACACTAGTGATGAGCAGGACAACAAGAAAAAAGACTTAGCTTTGAGTTAACCTTCCATTTACCACACTGCTCACTAAACCATGCCACCTCCAGACAGCAGTGGATCTCTAATCTTTTTTTCCTCTGTAGCCTAAATCTGACTCCACGACTGCCTTCAAAAACAAGTGAAAAAAGCTTTACTTGGGCTGTACCACTTACTTCTCTCATCTACCTTATTATTACCCCTCTTGAACTCCAGATTTCACTTGCAATTTTGAGACACAAAAATTGCCAATCAACAGGAAACTGCCAGGCTGAACCTAGAGGATGCTTCCACACAAAAGGAAAAGTCTATAGGCAAGATGTCTACTGCTGTTAGCAGAGGAGTTACCAGTAAAGTTCTAGGTTTGGAGCAAGTTACAACTCACTGACCACACAGATGGCTTGCAAGGCACATTTTACATACAGTTATTAAAAAGAATAATCCTGTTCTAATAGTTTCACTTCCATTGCATTTTACATCAACAGATTTCCAATCCCCACAGAAAGGATGAGAATCTTCATTTTGCCCGAGAAAGGACAGCTTGCTAAAGATGACAAATTCAAATGGTGGTAGGAACTGCCCCCTTCATGGTCTTAACTCATAGGCTAATACACAGCCTTACATCATGCTGCTTCTCCAGCAGTAAGGCAAGTTTCAGAAAATTCTGACTTCAGATTGGAAAGTTCCCAAATGCAGATTCATACCAAACATCAACACAGCCAAAAATAGGCTAGAAATTTCAGAGAAAAGGTCAAGATGGCATATCTAGGACTTCTGCTTCTAGTCAGGAAACCACATACACACACGAACAGCCCAATTTGCTGGAATTACCATTTTTGGCCCCAAACACAACTTACAAGTGCAACAGTAAAAGGAAAACCGTGGGGTAAGAGAGTGGAAGAACCCCATCATATCATCAAGGTTTCAAAACAATTTAGATAAACTCTGTCATTAAAAAAAATAAAGAAATAAGCGTGGATCTTTATTCAAACCAGCTTGACTGTTCTGAATGCCAACACAAATTTGCAAGGAATACTATGACAAATAACGCTTATTAAAATGTAGATATAACATGTCAGGCACATAAAGATGTAAAAAGTGAACCCACAATCAACCAGCTTCAGTATCAGCTCTCCACTTGGCCCCTTGTACCAGCTGCTTCAGAGAAAACACTCTTTAAAGAGTTACTTAGATTCATCTGGGGGAAATCTTCCTACTTGTCTTTATTTACTGTTCTTCTGGAGATCTTGGTTGTGTATTTATTTTTAAACAGCTGGCTATTCTTGTTTTTCCTTTTTGAATCTTTCTGAACTCCAGATCTCAAACACCACTTTGAGTCAGTGAGCTCCACAGGCTAGTTTTCTAAGCTTTCACAAATACTCCAGATTTTTCATATGCCAGTTTATTATTTATTGAACTGCTGATCTGTCCTATTTATGTTATTTACCTAGAAACTGGCAAGCAGAACCCAGCTGGATCTGGAACTAAGTAATCTATGAAGCTGTTGCTCTACATAAAATGGTTCACCATCCCCAAACCCTCAGTTCTAATCCTGCCTAATAATATGTTGCACTACTGCCTTTACTCCTTCCTTCCTCTCCACATTTCTATCAAAATGTTGTTTTGCTAAAGAATGTTACTGAAGCTGACAGGTTGTTCAAAGCTTCCTCTGTCTCAGTAGTCCAGTTGGATCATATCCCAGGTAAACAGAAAATATTCCAGATGCATACATCGAATATTTGGTCACAATGAAAGTGATACAGAGAGAATTTAATTTAAAAAATAAACATCAACGATTTTGTCAAGGTAAGCCCAGATGGACTAAAGCTAACCAACTAGCTGGCAATTCCCTAAAGAATCATGAAGCCCAGATATCCCTGGCATGACAGACACAGACAACCCATCACGAAAGACCCTCGGCACCTCAAAGCACAACCAACAATTCGGAGTTGCTTTTGTGGGGAACTGAGGATTCATTTCCTACCTGTCGATGATCACGGGGTCAGACGGAGTCTCATTTCTGTTGCCACAACTTTTCTTCTCACAGCACCGACTACAGAGAGAAAGAAAAATCAAAATTAAAGAATTAATGGGACAGCTGATAACAAAGCAACCAGCTAAAAAGAAAAAAAAAAAAAAGAAGTCTTGCTTGCAAAGTTTCAGAATTCAATATATACCTAGAGAAGTGACTGAGAAAGTTCTGGCTAGGCTTTCTGGAAGGGAGAAGAACTAAGGGAATTGGGTGCCCAATACTCGGCTGATTCCAGATAGAGTTTGGCACTTGCTCCCCATAGCCTTTTTTTGAAATTCCCAGCCCAAAAATGAACAGCAATATGGTCACACTTTAGACTAAGGCACTATTTATAAAAGCTTAATAAATGATTAACAGATGTCATGACATTACGGGCATGAGTATCATGTTATGTATGGCTAGAACTGACTCTGCTTTAAGCAAACTATGGATTTTTTTATATTCTAATAACTCATTTATTATTAAATATCTAGCAACCCCTAAGTCCCATATGCCCACAGAAAACGTCCAACACTAGTAGCACCAATGAAAAAACACAAACTCAACATACTTAGGATACTCAACATACTTAAGGATCTGAAGAGAGATTTTTTAATTTCAAATGTAAATCCCTTTGCATTGTTTCAGTAATGACAAGCCTTTAAGATTAGCAGGAATTTATACACATCATCCTATGTAGCTGCCAATGTGACTGTGCAGAAATCACAACTCTCCCTGATGAGCTCACAACACAAAATAAATATATTTCTCTGATTTGCTAAGAAAACACAAGACAATGCTGTCACTCTCAGGAGCCTGCAGCGATGTATGTATTACAGAATGACACCCGTGTTCAGGTGTGCATGCACACTTACACAAAGGTGACTGTGGACATCAACATACAGATATATCAGGAAATGGTACACCAGAACACAGCCTAAACTCAGGAATTATTTTATGATCTTCACTCCCAGTAAACTTTTAACAGAAAATAACAGAATCACTGCATTTCCTTTTCCCATTTTAAATAATGAAATGAACAAACAAGAGAACAAAAACAAGAGACAGGGTGTTATTTGATTTCCACTGATACACTCATCAACATGGGTGACGCTCCTTGCACATACACCAGCTGAGCACCAGAATTTTAACAGACTTTCGTAACAGTCCCTCCTCAGAAATTCTCAATTTTAACAATTTGTAGCAACAGAGAAGTGCTTTAGAAAATTTAAGCTGTCTTGGTGCTCAGATAGCTTGTTCCAGCCAAAGCTTATATGGGAGGGGAAGGACGAAGGCATCCAAGACTTTAAGTAGATGAAATCAGAAGTTTCATATGCCTCAGAAGTCACCAGATCAGAGATTGCCTTAAGTTACACAAATGCCTTTCCAAATTATGGTTTACGCATTCTGCAGAGGTTGTTCAAATTTACACGTATGAAATCAAGTTACTGTTTAGCTTTTTGTACAGTAGTATGAGTTGCTGAACAAATTTGCAAAATTTTCAAGTCGGTCTGAATCCCAGTTTCCAACTGGGGAGCAATTTCAAGCTGAGGAATTTAAAAAATGAAATAAAATGCTTGAATACACTGAAAGGAGTATGAAATATGAAAGAGTAGCTTTTTTCTCGGAATGTTAATATTCGATTACAATTATGTAAAATAAGCATTTGGACCAAAAATGTCTTTCAGATAGGAAAGATCTGAATTGCATGCATTTTCTCCTTAAACTGCAGTCTGTTGCAGGAACCTCCCCTGTTCGCAAGCGAAATTGCCCAGCAAGATAAGAAACAACTACCAGATCTATTTGAATATCAGCTCTACCTGTTTCAACATTTCTACATTCCCTTTGCCTCAAACCTGCACTTACTCATCGATGCTAGTCCTTTTAAAAGTAAAAGGATACACTAAATATTTAAAAATCCCTGGGGCAGACCCTCTAGCTGCTGTAAATTGTCATAACTCCATCGACTTCAGTGAAGCTATGGTAATTCACACTTGCTAAGAATATCCCCACTCCCTCCTCTGAACTTGAAGTGCATTTCTTATGTGTTTCACAAGGAAAAAATAACCCCCAAAAAGCAAAGTCAGAACGTAGATTTGACATGTACTTCCGACATGTCCAATGTAACAGTGCATTGGAAATTAGACTGCAAATAAACGCCTTGCTGGTTTATGTGCTGCTATAATAAAACAAAAAGAACTCAATTTTTAAAATAGTTTTGTAGTGGTTTGTTGTTTAGGCTTTTTACAGCTAGCTGAAACAGCAGACTTTTCCTCTCTTGGCAGTACTACTGAATGAGAGCTCCTTTAGCCGTGTAACTTAGGTAGATAGTCAGAACAACTATTTCTGATTACACTGCAACACAGTGATGTTCAAGCAGAATATACCAGCAGTACCTCCCCAACTCACCAGCTCATCCACTCTTCCCAGAGAGGATGCCATTCCTTGGCATAATGTATTAGAATGAATTATGGAAGATTGAAGTACAACATGGCTGGCTTCTGAAATAAGGACACCTTGGTTTATTTTAGTTTGCACAGTTATCGCACTTAGAAACTTCACGTTTGTAACGCTTAAAAAATTGCTTTCTAGAACTGTGGCTTACAGCTGAAGTTCTCCAAATATTATATGCGTTCTCATCACACTCAGGTAACAGATTTTTGTCAAGAGTGCTAGGTTTTTTCCCTTGACCATAGTATTTTTTGAGCCCAAACACATTTTTTTAAATTTCTTGATTAAACATTTACTTCCAATTAATGACTAGTTCACACGTAAATCAGAATGCTTTTAAATACTGAGGATCTTTCTGTCCAGCACTTTAGCAAAAGTACCTCTCAAATCTTTAAGTCCCCATTTCCAAGTGTTTCATCACAGTATCCAAGCACTAACATTTCCAGCAGGTTTGTTTTACAAGTGTGTCTGCAACAGAATTTACTTTTTCCAATTTAAGTCAATGACAAAAATCTCCAACTCTTGTGGGTCCAGGATCAAGCCTACAATATTCCCTTAAAGCAAGTTATTAACATGACTTCACCAGTATTTACATTTCTGCTACAATGCTGTACTAAGAACTTTTCTTTAAGGATGCTCATCTGGTGAAGACAAGAATATCGAGGCCTAAGACTTCTATCTATCACACCTTTTCTTATTATACTTTCCCATCTAACTAGATCTACATGGGGAAAAATAGCCTGTTATGAACAGTCCTGAAAAAAACACTAAGACCACAGAAACTAAAAAGCTACCACAGACAACACTAGATCTACAAACTGAATACTCCAGAAGGCTCACGTCAAAGGCAAACTTGCATCCCTTCCCTCCTCACACTTGACTAAAATGGTTTTAAAATTCAGCCCCCAACTTCCCTCCCCTCATCCCCCACCAAAAAAAAAAATAAATAAAAAAAAATCTGTCTCTAATTTCAAACTCAAATAAGCTCACAGCATGGTGGCCTTTGTTTTGTTTTCTTCTCCCCAACTCCTCCCTGCAATTGCATAACAAAAGTGTCTAAATTCACACCATCTGGCCGATAAAGACACAGGCCCCAGTGGCCGCCTGGCCCAGCTGATTAGAGCTCCTGTCTAGTCTGAGCCTTGTGGCGAAAGTCACAGCTGTGGGGCTTGCCTGCACTCAATACAACTCTGTTATTAGCCAGCTGTAGGCCCTGAGACTACTTCTGTTCAAATTATAATACCTTTTAACCCTCTGAGCATTGAGGGCATAGGGGGTTGCTGGCAGCAGCATAACAACTAGTTTCCTCTTAGTCGATAATTGGAAGAAAGGAAGAAGAGGAAAAAAGTTATTCCAGGAGAGGAGACTGTTTACCTTGATTTCCAGCCACTGGGGGGGCTGAGGGATGGGGGAAGGAGGACCACATATCTAAGATAGACCCACCTAATAGGAACAGTTTCCATGAGGCCATTATAACCCAAATGAAAATGTTCAGATCTGCAGCTAAATAAATAGAGCCTCTCACTGAACGCGCTAATTATTGAGAGCTGAGAGTTTAACTTTCAATTGGTATGACAGATTGTTGCAGCCGTATCAATATTTAGACAACTTCCCTGCTAAGCATGCATCTGTCACTGGCTGAGGGGAAGATACCGAGTTTCGATGCACTTGTCTCCATACAGCAAGAATATCTGCGTGTGTGATTACATGCAAAAAAAACCCCACAAAAACCAAACCAAAAAAAAAAAGCCTCCCTTCAACTAGCGAGGAGTAGAAGAAGAGAAGCAGAAAGACAGGCAGACCCTTCTTTTTAAAAACAGCAGGCATCAATTTGGACAGCAGAGTGGGTACAGTGCATTAAATTTTTATATACTGTTACTAATGCAAACTAAACTAGGGGCTTTAAAAATTGATGCTGCCACTTAAGCAGCACACAATGAGGAAGATTTGATTATTGTACTTAAAAGAAATAAAATAAAATGTCAAGTTTAACTAGAGTTGGATTCATTCCCTTGGTATTACTCAAAGTGATATGTGTAATGCCTCTTCAGAATACGCAGCATCCTGTTCAGAGATACTTTAGGAAAACACGACATTTAAAATCAAACGCCTTGATTAGGTTACAGAACGATTTTGCTTTTGTTCACTAATCTGTGTTTTACATGGAAAGAAAGAATGTCCCTGAGTTTTAATTCTTCCTTGGCTAATCTATCAAGCAGGAGAGTTCAGAATAATCTGCATAACGGCTTACATTTGTAGAACACCACCTTAAATCAAGCACAGAATACATTTATAGGCATCGGTGGAGGTCAGGTATGTAAGAGCTGAACAGTGTTTGATACTATAAAGGCATGGAGGGGAAATAGGGGAAAAAGTAATTTTATTTTAAAAGTACATTTGGATGGGAAGTATTTGCTGAAGTATTTTAATTTCCAAAATAGAACTGCACTCTATAGAGAAAGGGTGGAGCAAGATGCAGTACGGCAACTGGTATTTTGTTATCACAAATCAGGACCCAACTGCATAGCAATACAAAGATTTTTCTTCTTTAATGTTGTAGTCAAGAAAACACGGAGTGCACATATATTTGAACATGCAGGCATATGCCAGAAAGTATTGTACTTTTGATCTTTGCTACTACATCTACAGGTCCTCGTGAGCCACCGTGTGCATCTCATACCTGACAGACCTGTGTTAGTGCAGAGATGTGAATGGTGCTCTAAAGTAACAATGCTCATTTTCTTAATTAACAAGAGGAAAGGGCCACAGATAAACACTATACATTTCCTTGATCCTTATTATATTTTAAAAGTAATTAAATACTTTACATAATGGTTAAGGACTAAAACTGAAACTTTCCCTTATCAAGATCTCTGTCCAAATAAGCTGCTCTTGCTACTCTAATAGCTTAAAAGCTTACTTAAAAAAATAAATATAAAATGTAAGTAGCAAACTGCAAGATTAAAAGAAGCAACGTTCAGTCCAACAGCTTAACCCACTCCCACTAATACAATAAATCACAAACTATGTTTAATAAAGGCCAAGATTGGTTTTGCCCTTCATTTTATCAAAGAACATTCTATGAACAATTTAACACATTTTAATATAAGAACAAGGACTGTTTACATTTTTATATGTATTGAAAAACTTTAATTACATGAGAACAGGAAAAGTAATGTTACCATGGAACCACGATGTACATACGTAAGGTAGATGTAACTTCAGACTTATACAAACGTCATTTAAAACATTTTCAATTCATTGTATCCTCTGATTCATAACTTTACACACTAAAAATAATGTTTTTTCTAATTAAAAGCTGGAAGTCTCCTAAATACTCCTTATGCGGTATAGAAAAGCATGATTTGTGTTATGGTTTGAGGAGTTTCTTTTTCGATTGGGGTAGAACTACGCAAACGTAAAGAACATTAATGATGACAATTTCATTAAGAAAATTAAAATATTTCACAAGAGAAAATTACATGAAGAATGCCTTTTAGTTTCTAGGTACAAATCTGTCAATTGATCTGCTCATTCTCAAAAGGGGAACAGGAATTTTCTAAGAAATAAGCACATTAAAAGTCTCAATTTAAACAACCTATACAAAGGCCTAGTTTAAACAAAAATAGTGCTGCTCAGACTATGGACCTGGGGTGGCTACAGCTCTTGCACTAAAAAAGACAACCTGAACAAACCAAGCCAAATATCTTTATCAAACCCTAAACAAATATTATCCACATGTAAAAAGAAAGTCTCCCTACACCAGAATCTCTCTGACTCAACAGCAAAAGAAACAAACAAACAAAAAAAATCAAACTCTTCCTACCTACCTCATCAGAAAAGCCATTCTAGCATCTATGAAAACAAGCTTAAGAAATTATATGCTGTTAATAAAGTCATCTTACCTGCACATGACTTCGTGGGTAAGCAAAACTCTGCACATTTCAGGATTTTTGTTCTGTCCTTCGTAAGTTATGGGCTACAAAAATGAAGAAATGGGGTAAGCCAGTAGTGTCAGCAGGTCACTTCTTTGCTATAATATTCAGATCTGAAGCTTTTTACCATTGCCCATCATCGCTTGCAAATAAACACCATCTCCCCAAACAACATGCAGGGCAATGTTAAGAAAAAAGGAAGGATGAGGAGGGACAGGGTAAGCACGGCACATATGGGCTATGCTCACCTGCTTAGTGACTGAATCGATGAGTCTAACATAGAGATCCTGTTCAGTCCTGACACCTAGACAGAGCAAGAGGGAAAAGTAATAAATATTGCAGTTATTTGCCTCTTTCCC